CCCCCCAAACCACCCACACTGTGAAAGGTGTGTAGAGGCGCCCTTCGACAGTGTACAGAAATTATCTTTAAAAGTATAGAGATTTTTAAAAAAAAAGTGTCGATACTCACCTTGTCAAATTTTCCACGATCACAAATACTGTAAACATTTCGTTGTTGCTTTGCCTGCGTGAACTCACTTTTGGGTATTAAAAATATACATGCCCGTCAAAATAGACGCACTATCGTTTCGTTCTCTATCTTTTTTTTTTTTTTTTTGTTATATCTAGAAACTATGAGTTACTAACCCTTTGACTCGGCACTATGGATAACGCAACACGTCGGCCTTGATTCCATGATAGATACCGTAAATCTGGGAGAAATGTGGCTTTTCTGCCTACCTCTGGTCGTGAACCTGGACCACAAGGAGTTCGTCACCCGGTCGCCACTCAGGTTTAACCAACTGAGCTAGCGAGTCGGGCAGAATTAATGCTTAAAGCCACACACACACACACACACACACACACACACACACACACACACACACACACACACACACAAACCATCCTCTTTTCTTGCAGCAGTCTTTTTTCCTATTATCTACTACTACTACTACTACTACTACTACTACTACTACTACTACTACTACTACTACTACTACTACTACTACTACTACTACTACTACAACTACTACTACTACTACTACTACTACTACTACTACTACTACTACTACTACTACTACTACTACTACTACTACTACTACTATGCATTTAGAATGACCTCTGCCCACCCCCTCCCCTTTTGCTCCAGCATGCCTCCGATGTGGGTTCAGGGGTCCACTTTTGAGGGAACAAATACTAGACCAACTGTCACTTTATAATATGTCATAAAATGGGATTTATTGAGGCTTACTGAAATCAGATGTGTTGAGCTGAGGATATCACAGCTAGCTGTAAACTACAAAGCAACGTGCCAACCGCCCTTTTAAGGGTTAATGAAGAAGAAGAAGAAAAAGAAGAAGAAGAAGAAGAAGAAGAAGAAGAAGAAGAAGAAGAAGAAGAAGAAGAAGAAGAAGAAGAAGAAGAAGAAGAAGAAGAAGAAAAAGAAGAAGAAGAAGAAGAAGAAGAAGAAGAAGAAGAAGAAGAAGAAGAAGAAGAAGAAGAAGAAGAAGAAGAAGAAGAAGAAGAAGAAGAAGAAGCGTCATTCATTCGATGTTTTTTGTTTTCTTACTGTTTATTCATTGTCCTGTTGTGCCATTGTATGTCAAATAGGGCTGGCAATGTATTCCTGCATTCCGTTTTATCTGGTCAGTCACTTCGGTATCATGGGATCCAGTCCAGCAGCTTTGGCCTCTCTCATCATCGTTCGTTTTAGGATTTCTTTTTGGCGCCCGCACCCCTTAATCATTTTTTCTTCACATTTCAATGCCTGTTTGGTGATTCTCTGCTGCTTCTTGTCAGGATGTGTCCAGTATAGCGCAATCGTCTCTGTCTTTTACTTGTGATTGCCCAGACATTTATTTCTTCAATCTTTTTATTTTCAATTCATCGCAATTTGTTTTTATCATTTTCCTCAGACATTTGTTTTCAAATACATTTATCTGATGTGTGTCATAATTTCTTTCTTTGTGTTTCTTTTACTACCTGGATTACTATTTAAACAAGTAAATTGATCTGTTACTTTACCTACTTTTGTCTCTAGTGTTACATCGGCATGATTTGTCATTGATGCTTTAATATAGTTGTCTTTTCATAACTAATTTGTAGTGCAACATTACGGTGTCTGTTACAAAATCAGTGTGCGGAGTCACAGAATGACAACTTCCGCTGGGGCAGGGGAGGAAAGGGAGGTATCTCAGAGATATTTTTGGAGCAGCTTGTTGCTGTTGCAAATTGCAACCCGGAAACTGAAGGCCAAGGAGGCCTGGCCCTGGTCAAAGAGTCTAGCTGAACTAGGTATCGAAGTATAGGAACATTTATAAATGTGCCTGATTCATGATACATATGCTTTGTTTTCCTAGTCCCGTGTTTTATTGTCAGTGAAAGCTACAACCTTGCCCCTAAAGGCTACGAAGATTTTCCACAGGAGGACATTGCTGAGAACCAACCCCAGCATTGTTTATAGTAATAGTATACTATACTTTATCGGCTGTTTTATTTCACTAGGCAGTTGTACGTTCAGTAGTTTGATATTGATACTAAACGGTCGGCTGTCGATGCCATTGACTAAATCAAAATCAACACAAGCTGAGTGCTGCCGAATCGCTTACAGTAGCTAAAATCGAACCGGGTCTCTTGGAATTAGAAGCGCATTCGCAACGTCTAAAGCCACAGCAGACGCTGACTAAAGCGATCATAACAGTTCCAGTATCAACAGTCCTCCTTTCTCCCTGAGTCATTCATAACTCAATTCTTTCATGGGCCAGAATTACTACTATTACTATAACTAAATATAGTTTCAGTATATACTAGTACTATAAAGACAGTAAAGTACTAGTAGCTGTGCTATAAATGTCTTAGAAAAGCTACTAATAGTAGTGTATATGTGTAAAAGTAAAGGACCCTTTTCCACACCTTTAGGCATGTAGGGCTAGACCTATATTTTATAGACCAGTCAGCACTTGGTGGGTGATGTGGTCAGCATCACGCCGACTGCCTTTACTTCATAGAAATGCACCTGGTACCCATCCAAGTATGTCTGTATGTATAGTCCAGTTTTATTTAATTACTTTTTTACTTATGTGGCCACCACAACTGGGATTTAGGCCTTGGAAATCCAGTACAGTATTTCTTCTTCTTTATTCCTGTTCTGTCTTTCAGCGTCAGGTTTTGTAAAGTCATTGTTTGCGAGCCTTGGTATGTGTTATGTAGATGCTGGTATTGACGGCCTCAGATATGCCATGTATCTATGACTTGCATGGTCGACCTCTAAGTCTGCTTTCATAATGTCTAAGCATCAGAGCTCTCTGTTTTGAACTATCTAGTGGTTGTCTCCTGTAGTTGTGTAGTACTAGTTTCGGCCCTACTTCTTTCCTGTTAATGTTGTATATGATTCTGTCGCTTCTAGTTATACATACAATTCATTTTAGAGATTTCATTTTTATTGGTTCTGTATTTTTTTTTTCAGTGTCTACCTTTGATACTGGTAGCACAATGTTGGTATTAAAAAAAAATACTGTATTGAATAGTGCTAATTTTTTGTCAGTTGTTACATATTTGTTCTGCAAAGTTCAACGCTACCATAAAAACACTGTATACCCTGGGGCGACTTGGCAACCCATTGGCTCGCCCATAGATAGCTTCATCGCTAGTCGGGACAGTATTTGGTCTGTCTGCTTTGATCGCATCAGCATGCAAGTCTTTTTCAGAGCAATGCTAAGCCATTTATATGCCTTATGTAACCTAGTCACAATTATACCCTAAAGCTCCCCTTTCAGGGATGCTGGTTGAACCTAAAAAATTTTTATTTTTTTATTTTTCCAGCAGAGCACCTACTACCTACCTAATATTTTTGTCCTTAGAGCAACTATTTGTTATTCTTATGAAATTGAAAAATACAGTTTTGACAAAAGAAACGAAAGTAATAATCCAGATAGAATGGGTTGACAAACAAAAGAATAGGCTACACTGAGTAAAGAAATGTATGCCGTTAAAGAGTAACCTACAATGAGTTTCCTCGTACTGAAAGTGATAAGTAGAGATTTAACATTTTAGTGTCAAAAACTGCCATAGAGAATTATACAGTTAGATGACTAGTAGTTTGTTGGTGTCAAATCCTTATACAAAAGACAAGAGGATATCTTTTTAAACAGCACTAGGGAATGTGTGCAAAAAAATAATGACAGTTAGTCTCAAATTTATATTGTAATATTGCTATAGTTCTACAGTCTGTAAAGTTTATGTTATGGCAAACTCTATAATAACAGGAAAACAAAATTAATTTTTGTATTACTTTCATCTGACATTGCAGAAGATATTGAAATGATCATTAAAGCAGGCAAGGTCTAACATTAGTAGGTAGAAAATGTTCTGATACTGACTTTGATCACTAACTGTTGGTATACCAAAATTCACTTCAATTGGTAAGTAGAGTAAGTAAAGAACCCTTTTTCATGCCTTCGGGCATTTAGGGCTAGACCTGTATTTTATAGACCAATCAGCACTCAGTAGGTGATCTGATCAGCATCATGCCGGCCGTCTTTACTTCCCAGGACTTTACTTAGTAGGTAATTTTTAGTTTAAAATGTCAAGCTTCATCAGGACCTGAACCTATGACTTTCAGATCCTCAGGTGAGCATCTAGTCACTACATCATGACGGTTTTATAGCTTGATTTTTAAAAAAAATTTTTAACCTGGAGGCAATTTAAAGTTCTTCAAAAGAATACAGGGATCCATGGCAGTGCAATGATTAATATGTTTGTCAGTGGTCAGGAGTTCAAATTTGTATGGAGGCAGATTTAAACAAATGTCCCAGGTAAACATTGTATTCAGAAAATATCCTGGAAAGTAAATAAAGCAAAGGATCCTTTTCATGCCAGTGGTGTATGGGGACATTTGATACTAGATTCATATTTTTAAAGACCAATCAGCACTTGATAAGTACTGTGGTCAGCATCACAAAATTCACTTTTACTTCCCAGGACTTTACCTAGTATATGTTTTAGGCTGGGTCGACATGGGAGTCAAAGTCATTTATTTTAAAATTTAGCTTGCTGTGAATTTGAACATAAGACCTTTGGGTAGGCAAGCAAGCATTTAACCCCTACTCCACCACAGTACCCTGAAATTAAGGTACTAATTTGAACCTGGATTTACTTGGGAGCCTAGGTCAATTTTAAAAATCTATGTCTCAGAGCAGTCAAGCTTGCTAGCTGCTATTTCCTTACTCACTGTATTTGTGTACTCCATACAATTGTAAGTAGCAGCAGTCATGTCATACATAAAATTATACCATAAAATTAACAGCTAAAAAGTACATCACCTATATGTTTTCATTTCAGACATCTGACCACATAGTTGAGAATGGATGGAGATAAAATTAAAAATGAAGATCAAGCTAAAAACAAACAATGCTCAAATCAAAAAGCAAGCAATCAACAGCCAGGTTTTCAGTCAGTTGCAAGTCAAAGTCAAGTCATAGGTGCCTGTGGAATTGCTGGCTGTTCAGACATTTCGCTGCCAGGATCTTCATCAAATGATTGCAGTCAGCTAGCAGTGCCCCCTTGCGGTGAGCAAGTAACCCCACAGCAGACTGTACAACTGCCTCGCAGTCACAGGCACTCTGTAAATGGTGTTGGCACAGCTAATGGAGCAATATCGATAAGCTCGCCAGTCAATGCTGTTGTTAAAGCTTCCAGCACAGGAACATTGTCTGGTTCGCCATCCCAGTTTTATGTTCATAGCATTAAGCAAGAATCGATGACATCTCCTTCAGCCTCCGATTTCTTTGTGAATTTTCCCACTTTGGTGTGTAGCAACTGTAAGGGTCCTGGCCTGGGAAATAGTGGACTGCACACAAGTACATGCAGTGCCAATTTGTTTAAGAGTGAAGATAGTGGATGTGACTCGGAGTTCGTTAAAAGTGGACAGGCCTTCTTTCAGTCTTCCTCTCTCTTGGGATCATCTCCACAAAATCAAGGACAGGCTGTGTACAACTGGCAAGCCACCAAAACAAGTGTAAAAGAGCGCCTGGCATTTTTGTACGCCACAGGCACAATGACTGATATTCAGTTTAAGGTAAAAATCTCAGAAAGTTATTTATTGATGCAGAAAATGTATTGTTGTAATTGTAAATTAGGTGTATCTATATCTGTGTCATCTTCATATTGTTTTTTACACATAAAGCATTCACAGATGATCTCCGCAGCTACTGATCTGATTCTTTTCTGCCCTTTTGTCAGTTTATACCTCTTTATCTCTCTTTCTACTGTCCTTTTCTAGATTTCCTTAGGTTGTCCACATATTTTTTTCTGTCTGTCATTTTCTAGAAAGCTTCCCTCTCCAACTTTTCATAAGTTAAGTTTTTTTTTTGCAAACATGCCCAACCGTCTACACGTTTTTCCCTTGATCATAATTGCCAGTGATACAAATTTTGTTTTCTGCCACAGCTGTTCTGTTGTGATCTTTTTGGGTTCAAAATATTAACATGATTCTCCTTAGTCATTTATTTTAAAATGTATTTAGTTTACATGTAATACCCATTGTCATTTTCCAACACTTACTGTTTTGTAGTATCTTTCTACACTTTAGACTCTGTGTTAAGGCAAGCCATGTAATTTCAGGAAAACAAAAATATTATTTCATTGCATTTGCAGCTATGAAAATAATCAGTTTGGCAGTAACAATTTTATTAAAATGCTTGCATTTCTTACAGTTTATCTTGAAATGCTGGTTTTTTAAGTTTTGTTTCCTCCTCTTATTGTGCTCAGAGCTCCAAATTATGTCTCTGATGAAAGCAGTATTCATTATTATTTAATTTCCTAAGCTGCTGTCATTTCCTTACTTCTTGAGTCACTGTATTTTTTTTTTTTTTTAACATCTTCCTCTAATCTCCAAAGCAGTAATTCTGTCATACCATTCTTTCTTTCTGTTTTATACAAAAAAGAGCTAGATAATGAATGTTTATAATTCAGAAGTTTTTGTTCTAATTGTTCTTTTCACCAAGGAACCCATCCTAATTTTTTTAATCCGTCTAAATAGGGATTCAAAACGGGATTGACAGGCGGTTATATAAGTCATTTAGGTTTAAACAACGGATTAGCATGGCACAAGGATAGTAACCCATAAGTGCTGTGTTCTACTTCGAACTCAAGCCTGAGTCCGAAGAATCTCAGTGCAGTGCACGAACTTCGTAGCACCGGCGAGGATCCTAAAAATACTTTGAGTAGATTTGTAGCTTAAAATTGTGCCTATGCTGTGCTGTTAGGCTACTCTTTTCGATGTCCAACTGCCAAAGGATTTTTTTTTGCATGTGCAACAATACACACGGGCATCCGATCTTACTACCCAGACCAGGAGAAATTACTAGAAGTCCACGTGAAAAAAATCCCAGCCTTCACCAAGGCCTGAACCCGGGACCTCCAGCATTCGAGGTGGATGCCATGCTTTGAGACCATGTGGTCACTTTGCTGCCATAGCTCATATTTGTCCTAGTGCTATGCAACCTCCACTTGAAAGCACTTCCTAGCTTCTTGGACAATTTTAAGTAGGTGATTAATAATTTTAACGTATATTAGTTTTGTAGAAAGTCACAGAAAAGAACAGTTTTCAAGACATTTCATAATAATTTCCGAATAGGTTGGCAATACTTTCAAAGAAAATATATTTTGTAACTTTTTTTTTTTTTTTTTTCAAAAAAGGTTGGGAAACAACCAAGTCAACAAATCATTTCGGCACACAAGTTCATTTTGTCTGTTGGCAGTGCAGTTTTTGATGCTCTTTTCAATGGACACCTCGCAACTTCTGACACTATTATTGACATCCCAGATGTTGAACCAGCAGCTTTTGGAGCTCTGCTGCGGTTTCTGTACACGGACGAGGTTCAGATTGGCCCAGAGACTGTGATGACCACCCTCTATACTGCCAAAAAGTATGCGGTTCCTGCTTTGGAACGTGCTTGTGTCGATTTTCTCAAGCGTAATTTAAGTCCAGATAATGCATTTATGCTCTTAACTCAAGCTCGTTTGTTCGATGAGCCTCAGCTTGCAGCTTTGTGCTTAGAGACAATTGACAAGAACACGTCAGAAGCTTTGGCAGCTGATGGATTCACAGATATAGATCTGGATACATTGTGTGCTGTCTTGGAGAGGGATACTTTAGGCATTAGAGAGTGTAAGCTGTTTTCTGCTGTGTGTAGGTGGGCGGAAGCTGAATGTTTGAGGCAGAACAATATGCCTCCTACCAGTGAAAACCAGGTAAAGTTGTTGTCTTCTTCTTTTGTGTCTTCTTTTTCTTTTATTCCACTGCCTTTGCTGTAAAGCATTACAGAAAGGGGTTAGATATAGTTGCTAGTCTTCTGCTAGTTGCGTAGCTTGGACAGATGTCATATTCTATATTTCTTGTACATCTCATCTGACATGTTGTAATTTTGTATTTAAGTTTTTCTTCTGTGTTCTCCTCAAAATGATAGTTGACACATTATTGTGTGGTTTATATCTAGTCTGCAGTATCTGCACTCTTCGGCCCAACGCATCCAGTTTCGGCACAACCCTATATAGTTTTTTACAACATGCTTATTTTGGAGCGGGGGGTCTTTTCTCTCCTTCCCTCCTCCCACCAGTTTATTTAAAAGTAAAGGACCGTTTGTCTGCAGTTTTTAGTGGAGGAAGACATATAGAAAAGTTAGATATTGGGAATCTGCAGCGTTCTAAAGACTTTGAGACAGAGGATCAGTGACAATGAACTGCCTGTTGAAAATGGTATTAAATGTGGACAAGTGTGCAGAAACTGGTTACGTTGCAAAGAAAGAAGATATACGAATCCCCTTCTACTAGGTACTTTGAGCATGTAGATACTAAGATGGCTGCTGCATCAGAATATCTAGCACAAACGGGCAGGTTTGATGTTGGCATGGACAAGTAAGTTGGCACGGAAAAGTAATAAAGCACTTTTTTCAAGCCTATGATTTTAGCCATATATTTTTATAGATCAACCAGCTCTTGTGGGTGATGTGGTCTGAGTCATAGTACGGTAAAGATATCAGCGTCATAAGTTAGTTGTGCATTCTTTACAGGACGTTGCACAACCAGCCCCAGCATTTTTTGGCTGTTGTGGTTTTTCTAGGCAGATGTTAACGTTCAGTAGTTTGCCATTGCTTATTGAATGGTCAGCTCTCGGTACCACTGTCGAAACCAATGCAAGACAAACCGTCTGCACCTGGAATCGAACCCGGCATTACAAAGTGCGTTTGCAACGCCTAAGCCACAGTAATATAAAATTATCAACATTACAGTAGTAATGAAATTAGTTTCAAAGCATAAGGCACAAACAGCTACACCACAGCCATCCTCCCCCCCCCCCCCCCAACCCCTTTAAAAAAAAACTAATTTAACTCTTTCTGTTCCAAGAACACACTGTGCATGTTCAGCTGTTACTCTAAAGTCTTAATATGGATGTAATATGTTAATATATGGTTTGAATTCTGAGCATACTTCAGAACCCCTGCCAGATATTGTAACATGTAGCAATGCTAATGTATGGTTTAATAATTTTATAAGAAAGCACCACTGGAACTATATTAGTGATGCACTCAGAATGGATAAGACAAGACTCCCCCATCAAGCCCTCATATAGACACTGGAGGAGAAAATAAAATGGGGAAGACCAAGAGAGACCTTGCATAGAACCATCATCAGAGAATGCTCAAGTATTGAGCCTAATGAACATCCAAGACCAAAAACAGGTGACAGCGAACCTCCAGACATGAAGAGCTATGATCTAGCCCTAGGCTCAAGGGGAAAGATTAAGACTTCAAAAGCTGCCTTTTTGGATGTTACAGACTGCACTTTCATTGTGTGTATGAACGGCAAATCTGTTGATACTGAAAGAGTTGATATTGAATGTAACAGAAAGGTTTTTTATCTACTCCTTAGCGCCGTGTGTTATCACAAGCACTTCGCCTGATCAGGTTTCCGTTGATGACAGTAGAAGAGTTTGCAATGGGGTCCGCACAAAGTGGGATCCTGGAAGACAGGGAGGTGGTGGAGCTGTTTCTCTACTTCACTGTGAACCCAAAGCCTGTCATCAGCTTCTCAGATGTGCCCAGATGTTGCCTGACTGGCAAGGAGCAGGTTGTGTCCAGGTTCTGTCAGATTGAGAGCAGGTGGGGCTACAGTGGAACCAGTGACAGAATTAGGTAAATTTTTTGTTTGTTTTTGTTTTGTTTCTGTTTGCCTCTAGAAGGGCGGTTGGCACGTTGTGTTGTAATTTAGGGTTAGGCTGTGATAAGTGTGCTTTTCTGTCAGATACATTTGATGTAAGCAAACCCTTAGTGCTAACTAAGAGGTGTCTGTAAGTTAGGTGTTGCAAATGTGGTTTTTATTTCTAAGATGCACGCTTCAATCCCAGCTGTGGGTGATTTGAAAGCAGACTGCCTTGCATTGTTTTTGACAATGTTATTGAGAGCTGACAGTTTAGAAAGCTGCAGCAAGCTACAGAATATAAAATTGTCTAGTTAAACCGTGAAGAGCCAAAAAATGCTGAGGTTGGCTCTGCAACGTGCTGTGAAGGATACGCATCTAACTTTTTAACTAATGGTTTGGCCCGGCTCTCTGGCATAGTTGGCTAAACCGGATTGCGCTGTGACCAGGTGACGAACTCCTTGTGGTCCGGGTTCACTCCCGGGAGTAGGCAGAAAAGCCACATTTCTCCCAGATTTACGGTATTTACAATGGAATCAAGGCCGAAAGGTTGCGATATCCATAATACCGAGCCTAAGGGTTAACAACTCATGGCTTCTGGGTACTAAAAACAAACGAAACAAAACTAATGGTTAGTAGGGATGTTCATTTTCCCGCCAAAAATGACATCCCTGTAACCCACATGGGAAGTGTTAGGTATCCTTCTTCAGTGTTGAGCTTTATTTTAAACTGTCCTCAGAATCACTTTTGTGATTTGCTTAATAATTGTTTTCTTTAGATGTAGGCAGTAATAATATAAGACAAGATTTTGGTTGTTTGAGATGCAAGCAGTAATAATGAATACATTTCTTCTTCTTCTTCAGCATTCCGAGCCCTGTATTGCTGCATATATCAATCACATCCACTCATCTCTCTAGTTGACCTTCCGTTTTCAGCTGCTGACACTAAGTGTTTGTAGGTCTATCTGGACATTATCTTACCATCATCTTCTTGGTCAACAGTACAGTTATATGGTTATTTTAAATGTGAGCAGTAAGTCATACATGATCTCATGGGGGGAAAGAGTCACCGCTAAGAAGAAGAAAAAAGCAAACTATTGAATGTATTAAATATCTAGGATCAGTTTTCATGCCAGAAGGAAGAATTGATAGAGAAATCAATATACATTGTACTCTAGCAAATCAGGTACTGGGAGAACTAACACTACTTTTAATCCATAGAAGGTACTTTTTTGTCTTTCAAGAACTATCTTTTGGCTAACATTGTGCTAACAGTGTCAAACATGATCCTTTTTATCCCCCAACACTTGGGTCAGGTAAATGGGAGAAGAGAAGAAGCAGAACAGTTCCTGGAAAACTGGCACACTCAGGCTCTGCTGGCCAGAAAGATCATTTTGCCTCTGCTGAGTATTGATAGGATGAGTCTTGGCAGATAATCAGACCAACCATTGTGGTTGTGGTTCCATGACCATTGTAATATTTTTTAATATTCAGTTGTAATCTTCCAAACATTTCTTCTTCTTCTTCTTTCGTTCGCATGAAATAAATTGTCTATATCTGCAAAGCTGTCTCTAGTATGAATTTCACTGTCTTTTGTAATTCACTAAGCGGCCCGTAAAGTTTGACTTCCACAAGTGTCTCTTTTGGCCAAAGGTTTTGCCTGAAAGCGTTGAATCTGGGACAGTCTTGAAGGTTGTGATCTGTTGTTTCAGGTGCCAGTCCACAAGTACACATGGCTGATTGGCCAATCTTAAATTTGTTGTACATGTGGGAGCGAAGTCGATTGTGCCCTGTTCTAAGGCGAAGGATAATGACTTGCTCTGGTCTGTCCATAATATGGTAATCATCTTGTGCCAGTTTCGGTGGCATTCTGATTGATTTGATCATTCTCTTCTTCTGTTGATAAGAGACTGGTATGTTAGGTTGTTCTTCAGTTGCACCTTCCTTAGCTAGTTTATCAGCTTTTTCGTTTCCGGGAACTCCACAGTGGGAAGGTATCCACTGCATTACTAATTTACAGCGGTTGCCTAGTTTGGATAATAGTGTCCGTATGCTTGGTAATTTTCCAGACTGGAGTGACTGAAGTACTGCTTTTGCATCTGTCAGGAATACCACTGGTTGTGAAAAATACCCTGTATTTAGTAGTTTCTCTGCCGCTATCTTGATGGCTTGAACTTCTGCATCATAGTTGTGACAGTGCTTTCCCGTTGGTAATTTGGCTGTATCCCTGGTATTATTAGGATACTCAATGTCCAAACATTTATAGGCTGAAAGAGTTCACTGCTCAGAATGTCTTAAGTGTGTTGTTTTTTGTGTGTTTAGCAGCATCATGCGCAGCGGTATGTTGACTTAGTCTATATGATTTTTTTTAAGTCATTTGGCAGTTTCCAGTTTGGTTGCACACATTTCAGTGTTATGTCATCATCATCAAGTGCCTTGCTGACTGGTGTGAGCAATCATAACTTTCCATAACCTGCATCCATGTTCGTCCACTTTGGTCTTCTTCCTTTGCTTAAATGTTGCATGCATATATGTTTTATAGATCTTGCTTGTCTGCAGACTGTTGGGATTTTTTGCATCACAGGCAGATGTCTGTGGCTTTGAAGGAAATGGAATCTTATCTATGTAGGCCAGAAGTGTAGATAGGTCTTGAGCAGTATGAACCCTGCAGCTGGTGCATCACCAAATTTAGTTCAGTACTTTAGCATCCCATATTGATGTATGATTTTCCTGCAATGAAAGTCTCAGAATGATTTTATACTGATTAGTTGACTCTGGTTTCTCCACAGATTCATGGTGAATAGGAGAATTTTTGTTGTGGGTTTTGGCCTCTATGGAAGCATACATGGTCCCACAGAATATGCTGTTAATATTCAGGTAAATAGTTTATTGTGGCTTTTTTGAGACAATCCAACATGTACAGGTTAGAGAATGCGTTTTACAGTTTTTCAGTCGTTGACATATCAGGGTTAGATTTTTGTTGCAGACGGTTTATTTAAAACAAACAAACAAGTTATTTTTCAGCTTTCAGACGGTGGTAGGAGAGTCGGAGGGTCACAGAAAGCAATGTTATTCAGATAAAACGGTAACAGATCCAGAGGTCGACCACGCAGAGACACTGAAAAGTACTACATATGAAGGGAAAGCGTACAGAAGGGCCCATTCAAGAGATATCTTCCTGACCTGACACCGCGAGGCATTCGAGGAGTAGAGAAAAGAAGAAGTCTCTGTGTGGGAAAGATTAGGGCGTCACAACATTACACTCAAAGACAGCAGAGTGGGTGCACTACAGCCAGTTTTCATTGTGGAGACAGCATTTTCAAAAACAGAAATGTATATGTAATGTAGATGTTCTGTATTTCTTTCTATTATAGGTAGTTGAATTCTTGTTTTTTTTTTTATAAAGTATTTTTTTTAACAGTTGTTTGCTCCAGGATTGCAGTCTGTAGGGCTAACATCTCAAGGATGAGAAGCAAACAGCTACAAATCCCAGAAACCCTGTTCAACATTATAGCCATATAGCAAAGTAATATTGTAGCACCACAAAACGGTTATGATGTAACCTGTAGTCCGGTTTCAGTGGATCTGTTGTGTGTGATTGTTGGGACTTTATTCAGCACACAGTAAAATTATAGTAGCCACTAAGAGGAAGTTACCTTAATTTAGATGATGTGAGGGGTGGTAAAAAAGTAATGCCTCTAAATTTTGAGTGTTTCATCACCAGGTGGCACCACTGTAACAATGTAAAAATGGCTTCCAAAATTGTTAAAACAATGTAATGTCATTAAATTCCTCAAGGTGAGACCCCAATTCACATCCACAAACGTTTTTAAAATGATTATGAAGATGTAACAATGGGTGTTAGCACTGTTCGATGCTGGGTACATCGTTGTGACGAAGCTGAAGTAGGTCAGTCCTCAATGGCAGACGCAAAGTGGACTGGCCATTTGTCTACTGCAGTTACTACACACAGCATTTATCGAGTTGCTGACATCATCCATGCTGACCATCAGGTAACACTGGATGAACTGTATTCCCTGTTGTCCGTTAGTCAAGGCAGTGTCCAAACCCGCATTGAAGCCCTGGTTGAATCAAAGGTTTGTGCACAGTGGATACCCAGAATGTTGACAGGTGGAAATAAAGAAACAGGAAAAACCATCCACCCCCTGCACTGTTATGAAACTAAAGGAGAAGCATTTTTTTTAATAAGTACTGACAGGTGAAGGGGTTTGGGTTTTATGTTTCTAAACCAGATTCTGACACAGACAGTGGAATGGTATTACTGAGTTAAAAAAAGGAAGTTCAAAAGTTCACCATCTCTAAGGAAAGTTATGGTCCTTATGTTTTGGGATGAGAAGGGTGTGATTATTCTCAACAAGGGAACACGGTGAATGCTGAATTTTACATTTAAAATTTGAAGAACCTTAGAAGTCATCTTCAGCAACTTTATCCATTAACCAATCAGAGAATTGTACTGCTGTTGCACGATAATGCCACGCAATGCACGGCTAAACACATCTTTGATCCAATTGCAGGATTTCCCTGGACATTATTACCACATCCCCTTTATAGTCCCGATCTTGCAGCTTCAGACTTCAGTTTGTTTGGACCTCTGAAAGAAAATCTTGATGGACATCCCTTTGAGAACTCCAAGACACTTAAACGCGTAGTACGCCAGTGGTTTAGGAAAAAAAAGGACCAACAAATTCAACGTGCGAGGATACATGCCTTTGTAAAAAAGATGGACAAAAACTATAACAAATAACGGGGACTACACTGAGAAATACATTTTGGAAGTTCAGACTTGGGGCTGCATTTTAGTGTGAATATTGTTTTCTTGCATCTTGAATACAGTTTAAAACTATTAGGCACTCCTTTTCATTTTTTGGGTACTGTCCCTCATAGCTGTCATTAGAGAGAAAAAACAGCCCAGTAGTAGATACTGACATTGGTGTGAGAAGTGTTAGGCCTTTACATATTCTAGGTCCCCGCGTGTGATCCGGGGCCCTTATATAGGGAAAACAGAGACCAGATCACAAATGATAAGATTCGCAAGATAAATATCCAGCATATTGGAAACTATGAGCCTCTTTTAACTACAGAGAAAAGGTAGAAAATGCAATGATATGGTTATGTAATAAGATCTAATGGCCTATCAGAAACAATACTTCAGAGCTAAGTAGAGGAGAGGAGGCAGACCAAGAAAGACCTGATTACAGAACTTGACTGACTGGACAGATCAGGCATGCAACCATGAAACCCATCGCATCTGCAACTGTCAGAGGTGAATGCAGCTGATCAGACAGTCAGCAGCTGGTGACCCAGGGACACACAGTGTTACGGGATGATGATGATGTCGACCTCAGAGAAGAAAAATCCTGCCACTTCTCTTGTTCCAGTGGCACAGCAGATGAAATAAGAACATTATTGTCATAAAGCTTTTTGCTCTGTGAATGCTAAACACAGTTCACCCCAGTGACCTAGGAAAAAAAAATATTAAAAAAAAAACATTAGAATTTTTGGTTAAAAAAAATTTAAAAAAAAAACAAACTATTTACAGTTTATAAAAAAATTCTTAATGGTTCAATTTTTGAACACAAACAAACAAAAATTATGCACTTATATGATGGAATGATCAGTACAAATGAATGCAGCCGGAGAATCAGCTGAGTTGCACCTTTCTGAGGTTAAATAAATTTAATACTGTGACTTTTTGTTTTGTTTTTAAAGCTAGTTTATCATACAGAAACACCCACAAATGCTATTTTTAATAACTATAGCCATTGGTGGAACTATTTATAACCTCTGTGAAGTGCAAACCAAATCAGTGCTGTTGGATAGCATTCTGGTAAACAAGTCCCTATAGCTGTGCCAGTTAAGTGGCTTTTGTGGAGGCATGGCACATACGGAAAGTGCCGGTTTTGGCGCCTCTCAGGAATTTTCTTTTTTGCAGGAAAGCTTATGGGTTCATGACCCATTTTTGTTTTAGCATTCCCATGGTGACTGGGTTAATATAATTAAAAGAGCATGCTATGACATTTGAAAAAAATCCTCAAAAGTGGCCGTATTTTTTTTCTCTGAGGTTAAAAAAAAATTTTAATACATAGAGGGAGTAGTAACAAACTGAATGAAGCATTTAATGCAACACATTCCTAGAGGGCCTAAAATTATGTGTGTCGGGTGGCTGGTGTTGTAACCCAGTGACCTTTATCACTAAGGCTACAGGAAAATTTGATGTCAGCATGGCTTTAAAAAGGCCATTTGATTGATAAGAAAACTAGCTAAATATTATTTTTAGTAAATATATTCATATCTTGACCCCCTAAATGATGCACAGGTGCACACACAACCAGTGGCATTAACTATGTGTCTTATGAAGAGATCATTGTAGAAATGTAAGTTAAACAACATTTATGGGGACTTGGACCCTGCTGGATCTGCAGCTTCCTGGGGCAAAAGTTTTAAACATTCAGCTAGTCTTAAATTAATGTTTGTTTGCTTGCTAGATTGTTCACATGGATTCAACAAAAGTGCTGGGTTCGAATGACCCCACCTTTCAGTGTGACGGAACAACATCAACTTTCAGGGTCATGTTTAAGGAACCAGTGGAGATCTTGCCAAACACTAGCTACATTGCTTGTGCCACACTGAAGGTATTATATTGGTTGTGTATTGGGGGTTTGGGGGATTTTATGTTTATTATGTATCCAAGACTGTATATTGTGGTGGTTTTGTGTCCTTTTGTATTTTATCTTGGCTATGTCTCCAAGCGGTTTGCTCTGAAAGACTGAGTTTCTTTCAGGCAATTCATGATGAGAGCGACGTTCTGCAAAGGACCTGCTACATGATGATAATGATATCTCTATTGATACAAAATATATTCACAAGGGAGCTCCAATTCTTGCTGGGCTGCTGCTTTTCTGCCTATGGTATCCCATGTCATTTTACACTCCCCCATTTCCCTGTCCGCTTATTTTTATACTCTTTAAATTAGAGCACATTCCAGCATGATCATTAAGACTTAGATATTGTAAAAAAAATGTTTCTCCCTTTTTATTTTTATTTTAAATATTTTTTTCTATTTTCTTAAATTTTTAATTTTTAATTTCTTTTTTTATTATTGTTAATATTATTGTCATTATTATTAACTATGAAATGAGGTACAAATGGAAAATTGTGTGGAAGGGCAGAATGTTAGAGACGGGCCTGCGTGCCCAATTCTTAACCATTTGAAAATAAAGTTTGTTTGTTTGTTTGTCCTCTGTCCTCCAGGTTTCCTTAGATTGTGCATGACTCCTTTGTCCATCTGCTGTCCACCAGAGAGCTGTCCTTTCCAGAGGCAGGAGGCATTCTGCAAACATGTCCAGGTCATCTCTGTCATCTTCTTTTGATAACGTTGACCAGAGATGGGCATTTCTGTTTTCCTCGACAGTTCTTTTTTGTTTTGAGATTTTGAACAACCGATCAACATCATGGATCACGGGTAGTAACCCATAAGTGCTCCGTTCTTCTTCTAACTCAAGTCTGAGTTAGAAAAAGCTCAGCACAGTGTTGCACAGGCTCTGTAGCACCGGCGAGGATCCTGAAATACTTTGGGTAGATTTTTTAACTCCAAATGTTGTCCAGACAGCGCCGTTAGGCTACCTTTTTTGATTTCCAACTGCCAAGGGATTTTTTTACATGCGCAACAATGCAAACAGGCATAGGATCTCACTACCCAGAGACCAGGGGAAATTACTGGAAGTCTAAGTCGACGTGAAAAAATCCCAGCCCTTACTGGGATTGAACCAGGAACCTCTAGCACTTACTACCACGCCTCGAGACCACGCAGCCCCTTTCTTCACTTTTTACACCTTTATTATATACTTTTCCAGTAATTCTTTACTGTTCATCCAGCTGTTACGTTAGCCAATTCTATCCCAATTTTTACCTACGTCATTTCCTCCTGGGGAGTCACTGTGGTGTAGCGGCTAGACGCTTACCTGTGGATCTGAAGTTTGTCGATTCAGGTCCTGACAATGACCTTGGCTGCCAGGTCAAACCAGCCTTGAGGTGGAGTCCTGGGAAGTAAAGGTGGCCGGCGTGATGCTCACCAAAACACCCACCAAGTGCCGTTAGGTCTTTAAATATAGCCTAGCCCTATATGCCAAATGCACCTGTAGAAAAGTGTTCTTCACTTGTAAATTTTGTCCTACGGTGTTATCACTGAACCTGTTCAGATCCAGATATATCTTCTTCTTCTTCTTTGCATTCACTGGCTGTAAACTTCTGCTGGAAGTTCTGGTTGTTTGTTTACCTCTGAGCTTCAGTCTTGCTCCAGAACCTAAGTGTTGCATGCACATCCATTTAACAGATCTGACTTAATTGTATGCAGATTGTTGGTTCCTTGCCACTCAGGCAGATGCACTCCGACTTTAAAGGAAGCCATCAATTAGTTAACTGTTACAAAATGATTGTTGGGGAGGCAGTGGGTCTGTTCTTGTTTACCCCACAATAGGGCCCTGGAACCCACACACAAAATATATATAATATGTGCACTAAAGGACCAAGGTCAAAACCAAACTGCAACCATCAAGGAATGAGGCGAACTTTTTGCCTACTTTGCTATAAAGATTTTTTTTTTAAAGAAAAGCAGTATTATCACCTTTTCATTTGTTTCTATTGCAGGGTCCTGACTCATATTATGGATCCAAAGGCTTGCGGAAAGTGACTCATGAGTCAGTTTCAAGTGGGAAAGTGACTTTCCAATTTACCTATGCTGCTGGAAATAACAATGGCACATCCGTGGAAGATGGTCAGATACCTGAAATTATTTTCTACACTTAACCAGTGAAGTGGTGCATTTGTTGTTCAGTTGATAAGCATTATGCAGAATCGTTTGTAGCATTTAAATGTATTTATAAAATGTACACAACCAGAGGTGAAATAGGAAAAAACTGTGCCTCAGTTATAAGCTGTTGCGTTGTTGTTTTTTTACGGCTGTAGAATGCTAATAACTCCTGGACGTAAATTTGCCTAGAGAAACCGCACAACAGCCAAAGGCTGCTGGGGTTGGTTCTGCAACATCCTGTAAAGAATACGCAACTAACTTAGAATGTTAATATTTTAGCAAAGCTAGATCTCAGGGCTGCAAGCTGGTAACATTAGAAATGTTGCGATCCTGCATCTTTCTCATGGCAAGTTGTGGGTGTGAGTTATGTATGGACCTTTACTCATGTTATTGAAGAAAATAAATTAGAGCTTTTAAACTAAAATGCTACAGAATACCATTGACTAAGAGAAGAAAAACACTGACATCCTACGTCATCTGAGCATCAAGGAGAATTGGCTCATAAACAGCATCCTCTCTGGAAATCTGAGGTATTTTGGCCACGACCGGCTCCAGCTGACAGGCTGTGCTACTGATATCACCATGTCGGGCTAAGGATGCTTTAAAGCAGCGGTTCTCAAACAAGAAATAAACTATTTTCAGCAGTGGCGAGGGAAGACAACTTAAATTATAACTTTTAAGTATCATGCCTACTTTAATCATTTCACAATTGTTAGCCGACTTTTCTTGATTATTGCTGCGGCATCCCTGGCATACGCTCTTGGCACCCCAGGGTGCCTTGGCACCCAGTTTGAGAATCACTGCATTAATGCATCATTAACCTGACCCGATGATGTCAGCAGCACGGCCAGTCAGCTGGAGCTGGTCATTTTTTGGCCATGTTAAACACCATGGTTACCTTAAGAGACCGATGATGGAGGGTACAGTTTCTGGAAAGTGAGGTGAAGGTGGATACAAGACACTGAAGGTGCACTGGCTATGAATGCACATAGGGCTGGAGAATTGGCTAGAGAAAGACTTTCAGGCGTGATGAGAACGATGTTCTGTAAAAAATCTGCTGATTGACTGAAAAAAACATAAGAATAGTTAACATTTTAAAAAGGCTGAGGATGAACAGAGAACTTGTAGATGAAATACAAGCAAAATGTCAGAGACTGGCATCAGAATGAGAGAAAAAAATGCTGGAGAGTCATTGCAGCCAACCTGTGTTGTGGAGATGGTACATAATTGTAAAATGACTACAAAACAATCAGGAATCTTTGGTTGCTTACTTCAAAATAATTGGATGTCTGTGGTTCATTTAACATAGAAATGTAAAAGTATTTGACATTGTTTCCTTCAGGGCAAGCTCTGTAACTGCAAAGATAATTAAGTGACCAATTTAGCAGTTATTCCTTCAGTGCAATAAAATTTAACCTTTTAAATGCTTGACACTGAACTGATATAATAAATACGTAACAGATATGAGCTGCCTTGTTTAAATTGTTATCATCATCCTCATTATCATCCATGCACTGTGTTATCCATTATAAGCCTTAGCCTGCAGTAGCTGTTACCTCTTTCAGTACTGTTCAGCTTTTCACTCCATCTCGTTGGGTGCAAGATTTCATAGGGAATTCACCGGGACAGTCCTACTGGGGGTAAGGGGCAGTTAGGGTTAATCTTTGTGGCTGTTTATTTACTAGTAAACCTAAAACACAAACACTCCTATATTCTAGGTGTGTCATGTGTTGGTTCTTTTCAGCGTTGTTTATTGCATCATTCTTTCCAGTATGTGTTAATTTTTTCGTTCCTCTTCTTCACTCTGCCTTGTTTGGAAGTGCTGTTTTTTTACTTCTTGACTTAGCATTCTCTATGAATCTCCTTTATCTGTCAGTATTCCTGCACCTAACCCTAACCCTTGAACAGTTGTCCACAGAAAAGACAGCTGCACTCTTTCGTCTGAAGGAAAAGAAAGCTGCACGCTTTTGTCTAGGAGATAGCGTGTCAACCCAGTCGAACAAAGCTAAGACACTTTTTGGTATGTTTTATGTACACAGCGAACTAAGGCATGTCATAACACCTTAGACCAATGTTTCCAAAACTTTTCTTAGTCGCGGCACCTTTTTTTTTCAATTAAAACTTTTCCACAGCAACATAACCTAATAAAAAGTATGATTATTCGACTGCAAAAGATTTTTAAAATTTGAATATTTCGCAGCGCCCCTGTGATGAGGTCGCGGAGCACAGTTTGGGAATCATCCTAGACTGTAGGACTATCCCGGGGAATTCCCTATGAAATCTCGCACCCGACTAGATGGGGTAAAAAAAAAAAGCTGAATAGTTCCTCTATTTCAGCACCAGAGAGCTGCCAATGGTTGGCACCTTTCTGTTTCTCCAGACAACGGTGTTATACAGAGCTATGGCGAGGCCTGGGAATCATGATGATGAGCGTAACTAGCAAGATCCATCTGCCTTCAGAAAAGTCTTCCACAATTAGAGCATGGGATTTCAGGGTTGTTGTTGCCATCACATGCAATTAATGTGCTTCTTCTCAGATGCTCATCTCTGAACCTTTCTGCAATCATTTTGTCCTTTAATCGGATTCCCTTCCTGATTGTCCCCCTCCATTCAATTCGGTCCATAGCATTTTGTTCCCCTGAATTTACCTCAATACCTGTATCATTCATGTCCTGCTTGCACACATCTTTATACTGAGTAGAGGCTGGTCTCAACTTCTAACAATCTAAGACTGAGCATTGTTATGATACCTGCACTTTTCTTCCTCAGTGTTTGTGATTTTGTCTTGACACTTAATGCCAAGTATTCTTAGGCCTAATAGGTGAAAAGTTGTGAAAGGCTATTTAGTCATTTTTCCTGGTGCAAATAAGTTTACCAAGCCCATATATTTTAATACGTTTTTTCAATCCTCCATACATGGTTACACAGACAGCTGTGATAATTTAGTAGCTAAACACCCTCCTGTCAGCATAAAGACCCCTCATTGACAGATATGGTTCTTTATTAATATCCTTCCCCAGATGACGTCACAGGACAGTCCAACATTTTATAGGGTGGTAAGACTTGCTTTCTGATGCATTTAACAACCCCAAAACATCTAGAACTGGACCTAACCCCAACCCAGCTACATCCCATGAGAGAGTGCAGCCTAGGTCCCACGACTGCATGCAGCCTATCTACCACCCCCTGAAATATTAGACTGTCCCGTGACTTGTGGATTTTCTCTGTTTGGGGTAGGATATTAATAAAGCACCAGAGATACATATATTTTTTAAATTATTATTCAAAGCTGATATTGGCTTCCAGGTCAAAAATAGGTACCAGGTAATATCCTGGGAAGTGAAGTTGACCACAACACTTACTGAATGCTAATGTTTCTATAAAAATATGAGTCTAGCACCATATGCCCAATGCACTACTGGCATAAAAAGGGTCCAACACAACAACAACAACAACAAAAAGATCATCGGCAGCCAGGTCGTCCAGTGGCTGGCTGGTGGACGGTTTTGTCGTCTGTCAGGACAGTATTTGGGTCTGTCTCTCTTGATCACATCAACACTGTAAGAGTCCTTTTCAGGGCTACATGGTGGCGACCAATGCTAAGCCATTTTATATGGTGCATATAAACCTAGTCACAGTTATAACCAAAAGCTCCACCCTTGGGGGGATGCTGGTTGAACGTGACAATCTTTTCTTTTCGTAAAGCAAGTCAAGTAAAAAAAAAAAAAAACATGGCAACACATCTGGTAACTTGCTCTGTCCAAATTTTGGCTACATGAACCCATATTATTCCTGTTGGTACTATAAGTAGTAAATGACCCTTTTCAACGTCTTCAGGTGTATTGAACATAGCAGGGCTAGAACTATATTATATAGACCAAGGCTGGGTCGACCTGGCAGCCAAGATCATTTTGATTTAAAAGTTTGGCTGCATCAGGACCTGAACCTATATATAATCCTCCGATCTGCAGGCGAGCGCTTAGTTGCTACACCCTAGCAGCTCCTCGTACTATAACCAATTGTTGTCTAGTGTGTCTTTCTATCTTTCTACTTCTTTTTATGAGTGCCGATCAATACTTTTTTTTTAAATTATATATATATATATCAGTAAAGTATATACTGTCTGGGATATTGCTTGGAAGTAACAAGTCTGGAACTTAAGGAGTTTCAATTGATTTATATTCTGGGTAGCTTTAGTTTTGTTCAAGCGGTTTTCTTATTCTTCTCCTTCATTGCCCTTAAAAGGGCAGCTGACACATTGTAACACTGTGTTTTGGTTTATAAATAGGCTGCAATACATGTGCCTTTTGGCCTAACACATCAGATTTCAGCAAACATCTATAGTTTTTCTCCTCTGTAAAAAAGAATTCAACAGAGAAACAAGTCAATCAGGAAGTTTAAGATTTTCAGAAGTGACCTTTTGCCAAATATTTAGACCCTATTACCTTTCAGAAGCAGGCTCATCCAGGTTACGACTCCTGAATGTTTTCCTCCTGTTGTGTATTCGTTTCTTTGCTGATTAAAAAACTTGTTCACTGCTCCATAAATGGCTGTAGCTGGGTTTGCTCACCTAAGAACCATCTGCCCTCAGGAAGAAAAAATTTGTGTGTTTTATCCTCAGCAGCATTTCAACTCTGTCACCTTGACTGTGAGTGAGGCTGCTTCTCTCTACCTGCCAACAAGCCTCTGTGGTCATCTTGCCTTCAGTTTGCTATGATAATAGATGCCACTACTGCCACGTTGCTTCTTCGCACTCTGTTCATGGCTTTATCTGAGCATACTACCCATGGGAAGACTTCTTTCTACCTGGCAGTCTACCAAATCAAACAGTCATGCTAAAACTGTTCCCACCTCCAATATTTGACAGATATGATCAAAGCCAATAGTAACATGACTATCACATTTATTTAAACCATTCAGGATTACTGGTTTAATTCTTTCAGTCCCAGCTGGCAATGGGAGAAAACTAACCACTATGAAAAATCACAAGTAAAATACTTTCAAACAGCTAAAATCACAGAACAAGTGGTCATGGAAGTAACCCGATTTTTTTTTTTCATTAAATATAAATGAACACATTAAACAATGGCTGGAATCAAGAAGAAAAGCCAAATAATATGCCTGGACTAAAAAAAGAAGTTTAACAAACAAGATATGCTATAATACAATGCTATATCATGACAACTTTATGCCTTGTCGATAAGCATGTGCGGTCATGGCCAGCCATTTAACATAATTACTAGCATCTATGTCCCACCCATGCGATAAGTTATTTATCTCTTTGTCCCCTTGCCCTTTTCCCATCAAGTTTACCTGCTATCACGAAGTTTTTGCGGTTTTTATCTTCTCATAACATGCCCTAAAACATCTTAACTGTCTACACCCTAGCAGTCAACAACCACTGGGGCAAACTCATCAGGCTCTGACATAAAGTCCCATTTAAATTTGTCTGTCAGGTGCTTCTGAAAACTCAAGCCTTTTTTCCTTAACTTGGGATCCACATGATCTCCGAGCAAATTCTGAAACAGTTCATGCAGGGTGGCTGTTAGAAAGTTGCTGCTGGTTACAATATCAACAAAAAAATCTGATGGAATTTCACGAATCTGAAAATGCAGAATAGAAATAAAAGACGAATATGCTTCTGGATACTGTGTAATGGCATCACCGCTAGTACACAGCAAGTGCACCAGCTTTTTCCACTGTTCGAACGAGTCATAATTCTGGCCGATAAGGAAACAAACAAAAGCATACTGAATTTCACCCAAGAGAATGTTAATGTCTTTGCCAAACCTCTCATTTAGCAACAAATCTAAAGTATAGGACGAATCCAAGCTGTATTTGGAGATTTCCGCTGGTGTTGCTCCATCTGGGTATTTCTTCTTTGGGATGCTTGTGTACTTGATTTTAGTACCAGCCACAGTTTTCAGTTTGGGAAGCTTTGGTTTTTTAGCTTTGCTAGCTGAGTCGGTGTCCATGACCTCTTCTTCTAAAGCTGCAGCTCGTCGAGACTGTGTTGTGCTGGCTTCGGATTCAAACTGAGCCACTGAGTATATTATGCCACCATCAGGCTGAAGGAGACTTAGGACATCTTTGCTGATATGGTTTGTTAGTGACACCCACTGCTTGTATCTGAGGAGTACAGTAAATGGGCTTTTATGCTTGTTAGGTAAAAATGTACAGCTGTCAACAGTTTTAAAATTTTGCTTATCATCATTTGTACTGTGGAACCTCGCTTAATGAGCGTAATTCGTTCCAGAATCATACTCGTTAAGCGAAACACTCGTTATGCGAAACAATTTTTCTTATATAAATTAATGTAGAATATGATAATGCGTTCCTTGTCGAAAAAAATACTCACAAAATGCTAAGTTTATTCAAAGAAAATTATATACATATTGTTGAAGAGAGTGAATCATCTTTATCTTTTCTTCAAACGCGGAACGAGCCCACCTGGAATTCGATTGATGCAAAGCTAATTTTTTTTTTTTTTTACTAGAAAGATGTCCAGAGACATTTGTTTTTGCCGAGGCTTCAAAATTTGGCGAAAATGCGACACAGCATTATCATTAAATAAATTTGCAGCGCGCATAGCCACTTCCTTATTACGGTGATGCTTCTCAATGTAAGCATTTCTCTTATTTCGCCAGAAGATTGTTGCTTTTCTGTTACCTCCTCCTCCTCCTCTGACAAACTTTCTTCCAAAACCTCTTGCTATGAAACACAATGAAACTCCATAAGCTCTTCGGTGGACAGCTTTCGGCTGTGCTCTTCCACAAGCTCTTCGATATCACTGTTATCCACCTACAATCCCATGATAGTGGCCAAAGACACAATCTCGTTGACTACAGGTTCCACAGGTACTGTCTCGAGCCCTCAAAGTCACAAATCGACAACGCTCTCCGGCCAAAGCTTCTTCCAAGCAGAAGTTAGGGTTCTCTTAGTAACCCCTTCCCCCGCCTTGTCGGTCATCTTGAGGCAGGCAACGATGTGGAAGTGATTTTTCCAAAACTCTTCGAGAGTGAGGTTGGTCTCTTCAGTCACCTGAAAGCAATGCTTGAAGAAGAGTGGCCATATCGGATGTGTTGATAACATCACCCACCAAGTATGGGTAGAAGTAAGCAAAGTAAGTAAAGAAAACTTTGCCATGCCTTTCAGGCGAATTTGGTATATAGGGCTAGATCTATATTTTACAGACCAAATGGTACTTTGTGGGTGATGTGGTTAGCATCACGCCGGCTGCCTTTACTTCCCAGAACTGTACCTGGTACCCACTTAACGCTGGGTTGACCTGGTAGCCAAGGTCATTTTAATTTTTTTAAATCCGGCCTTCGTCAGGAACTAAACACATGACCTTCCAATCCGTAGGTGAGTCTCTAGCCGCTAGATCACAACTACTCCCTACCAATGGCAAGTGGTCTATAAGGATATGAGTCTAGTATCATATGCTACATGCGTCACTGATAGTTTTTTTTTTAAAGCAGCATTTACCATGGCTGAAGTACTTTCGTATTCAAGACGTAACAGTTTTGCGTGTGTTTCCTCAGGTGCAGATCTTTAGGAAGTAGTGCAGCAAGGCCTTGTATATGATATCACCACGTCTAGATTGAGAATAGAGGTGGAGGCAGTCTCTGCTGCTTTCCGCTAGCTTGAGAATCAGCTGTACACACATGCTGTGATTCAACTGACTCACAGACATTCAAACATCAACGTAATTATCTCTCGATATATACGATATCAGCAGTAGGATAAAAGTAAGAAAAATTTCTTCTGTGTTCATCTAATCCCAATGTAACTGCTATGCGGTTGAATGGGGCTTCCAGGATTTGTACATGTAAGATTCTCTTCCTTGAGGTGTTTATCAAGAAGACTGCAATCCTGGAAGGAAGAAACTACCCGCTCCCTACCCAAGGGCACTTGGCATGTTGTGTTGTGGTTTACATAACATCAGTTAATAGAAGTTTCTGGTAAAAAATAATTACTTGTCATAAGGGTAAGGTCCAAGAAATCTGTCCAACTCTTCTCTGTTGTTTTCAAATCTTTCAAGTTCTTCACCTGAAACTGGTTGATCAGAGACGGCTGAGGAGATAATAAAAAAACCAATTGTATTACAAACAAATCATTAAAATAAAGGGATATTTATTGCAGTTATCTTTTTCTTCTTCTTCTTAGTGTTACTGGCTGTTGTTCAACCACCTCTAGACTTTGGTCATGTTCCTGGGCTTGATTTTTTGCATGCATATCCGTTTTACATGTAAATAAGGCTTATTTGTATGCAGACTGTTGGTTCCTTATCTTTTAAGCAGACGCACTCTGACTTTAGAGGAAAGAAAACACTTTTTTTAAAAACCATGTTACAGGTAAAAGATAAGGCAAGGTGTAGACAGTGATACAAGGGGAAAGTACAACGGTAAGAGATATCGGGTTCGTCACTTAGGCGGAACTCTGTATTTTCTTCATAACTTAGACACCAATAAAGATATGTCTGCCTAATCATGTACCTGGGTAGGGTTGGTAGTTTTTCTCTTTCAGGATTGCAGTCAGTAAAATTAACACACCAAAGTCGAAATCCCCAAAACCCAGCTCAACTGCACCATCTTTTTTTTTTTAACCTCTGAGCAGCAGCAGATGCAGCATTAGCTGAAAACTGTAATTTTATGACATCAAATTTAACCAAATTACTACTACTGCTATCCAACATTGTTTTTTTTTTTTTTATGGGCCACAAAAAAAGTTTTTTGTTTTGGTTGCCCGTGAGTGTAAAAAGGCTGAGGAACACTGCTGTAAATGATAAGCAACCAACTTTATAGTACTGTATGTGAGCTGACCAACTCTTTTCCACAATGCTTTCAGATTTACGTGCACAGACACACACACTTTTCCTCAACTTACAATAGTGGCAGGGAGGTCTAGGTCTATTATATTAGTTCGATAACTGTTTACTGGCCCGAAGGCCATAGGTCTGAATCTGTTTTGGTGAGGATTGTTATGTGATCTCAGAAACTCATGCTGACCTAGCCTAAAATGGGCACAAAGAAATGTCCTAGGAGGTAAAGTCAGCTGATGTGATTCTGACCACATCACCTATGCAGTTTTCATTGATCTAAAAAAAAACATGGGGCTGGCACCAAATGTCCGATGGGCCCCTAGCAAGGAAAAGGTCTCTTACTTTACATGACAGTAACAGATATAGATTTTTGACTTGGGGGTATATGAGCGACGACTGAACCCTTTACCCAAGCATGAAACACTATCCTCTGATATGACAACTATACAGATTTGTATGTGTACACAATACAGATTTGTATGTGTACACAATCGCTTCATCTGTTTTAATGTGCATTTACAGTTTTGCAAATACCTTCCATTTTGACATCCCAACGTCTAACAACGATTTCTTTTGGAGTGAAATTGCAAAAAAATCCAGTTCGTGGTCCAAGCTGGTCATCTTTGTCCTTCGAACTGGAAAGACCAACATTATATAATAATGAATTTGATATATAATATTATATATATTATATATATATATATATATATATATATATTATATATATATATATATATATATATATTCTATATATATATATATATATATTATCCATAATATATATGAACATACAGAAAGGACACACAGATACACAATCTTTTACGAAAGATTAAATACTCTTTCTTCTTCATGTTCTCATTTACCGCTTTGGGTGTTGCTGGTTGTTCATGCACTTCTGAACTTGGGTTGTGTTCCAGTACTTGAGTTTTGTGAGCATATGCGTTTTGCAGACCTGGTTTATTTGTATGCAGACTGGTGGCTCCTTGCCTCTCGGGCAGGTGCACCCCAACTTTGGAGGAAACTCCTAATTTGTTGACTCTTATGACATGCTTGTTAGGGAGGCAGGGGATCTGTTCTTTTGTTTCCCCCATAATCGAGCCCCGGAACCCACAAGAGGAACCAAGGATTCAAACTTGGGTCTCCCAAATAAGAGCCCAGCATTCTTAACTGCTCAGTCAGCCACTCCTCTAACAATATGTAACTGATGTTAGAAATATCCAAATGGTAATTGGTCCCCAACTCTGGCTACACACAGTCACGACAGAGAAGCATGTGGGTTCAAAGAACTTCAAGAGCTACCCCACTGTTAGTACAGCCACTAGCAATATCTACTGAGCTGGACAAACCAAGGATGGTGAAAAGGGTAAGACAGACAAAGCCTGCTCCCTTTTTCATAGACTGGGAAGATTCATCAGCAAAGAGATGTTTTAACACCTTCAAGACACTGCATGTACAAGAACTAAGCCAGTGTTAGCCACTAGACAAATCTCCTGATTTGTGCAAGCCAAAGGTTAGTAACAGGAATAAGGGGGAAACAGACCTGGTCTTTCTGAGACTGGGAAGATTAATGGACAGTCATGTAATTAGTGAAAAACTATGTGGAAGTTGCAGAGATGTGGTTTAATAATGGGTTCATGAGAACATCATGTATAGATAACAATTATGTGGAAGCTGAGAGATGTGGTTTTATTACTGGGTTAATGTGAACAGCATGTACAGATAAATATTATGTGGAAGCCAAGAGATGTGGTTTTATGATTGCTTAATAAGAACACCCCGAACAAGTAAAAATTATGTGGAAGCTGAGTGATGTGGTTTTATACTGGGTTAATGAGAACAACATGCACAGGTAAAAATTATGTGGAAGCTGAGAGCTGTGGTTTTATACTTGCTGAATGAGAACACCATGAACAGGTAAAACTTAGATGACAGCCGCAGAGATGTGGTTTTACAGAATGTTAATGAGAACAGTATGTACAAATAAGAGTAATGAAGATGTCTTGAAAAAAATGAACTCAGAATTCATTATGTAAAATTAATATTTTACTCCCATCAGAAGAAAAAAATGTAAACCATTTGATCTCATCGTAAGAGGAAAACTGGAGTATATCTGACAGTGACAGTTGGAGTGGAAGACCATGGGAGAAAATGTTGAACAGTTGGGCATCATGGCATGGTGGATCATCTGTGTCAGCAATACATACAAAATATATGAGAGAAAAAGCTGCAGAAAGACATGACTACTGTAGAAAGACATGACTACCAGTGTCATACAGCATGGGCTTTTAAAAGATAAGAAAAGCAAATCTGGCAGATGGGCTACCTGAAGTGTTGGGTAAAAGGACTGGTTAATCTGATGTGTGTTTGACCTGATTAATGTTTTGAAGATTCTTAATATATGCCATATCTAGTGTCACATTTTAAAAAGTTATTACCTGAAACTGATAAAATGAATTCCTGGAGGTATCATCTTGACACCTTTAAAGTTAGGGCCAACAATCCAAGAATTGTAGTCAATGCCAAATTCAGCTCCTTCAGGGAAATCCATGATAATAAACATGGCACCCTGCTCAAAGAGAATTTGAGCTGTCTGAGGATCCATTGCTGGAGTTTGTGTTGCAAGTGTGTCACTGGCAGTGCTATCCATTTTGTTTCAACTGTCTGAGTTTCGCAATAATGCTGTGTCAATAATTCATTAACCTAAAAAAAAAAAAAAAAATTATTAATATTCATGGCTAAGAAAATTGATTATCAGTACAATGAATAAATGAATCAGATCCTTTTTTGTTTTAAATTATTTTTATTTGTTGCTTGTTAATATCCTCTTTAACAGTTAGTTACTAAACTACATTAAATGACGAAAAGACCAAAGTCAATCAGTCAATTAGTCATATTATTTCTGGGAAAGTTTCTAACAATCTAATCATTTCAGTATTTTCAGGTCTCAGTGACAAAAATAAAGTACTGAAAATTTTCAACTATTCGTCAGGTAATTGTTAAACACATAAATACAAAAACACAGACATGCATTAAATTATTACACTCTTTAGTGACCACTTCCAAGGCCAAACTTTGAATTAAACAGCTGATACCAAACTGGAAGAGTCTAAATTATTAACATTCATCATCAGGTGCCTTTTCCAACTGGTGTAGATGATCATGCCTCAGTACAATCTGCGATCTGCAACTGTGTGTATCAGTTCGTGTGTTGAAAACCCTCCATGCCATAACACAAGGTTGTCAAGTATCTTCTTGTGTTGTCTTCCTCTGTCTCTCTTTCCACAGACCTATCCAGTGGTCACAACTTGTTTCAGTTTTCTTCTTCTCATTACATGACCACAAAATGATGACTGTCTCTTTTACTTTCTGACGTTTGTGATCAGTTGTCTCCAAGCTCTTGCATCTTTCAAAACATCTGGGTTGCTGGCGATCCAAGGAATTCTAAGAAATTTTCTGTAAAACCCCATCTCTGAGACCTCAAGAACTTGTTTGGCTAGTTTATTAATTTTCCGGGATTCCCAGCCATACGTGATAGTAAACATCATTGTCATACTCCCGTCTTTAAGCTCTGAAATGTTCCCAAAAGGTTAATTCTTTAAGCTGCTGTTTGCTGCCAATACATGTTCTTTATTATTCATAGTTCTTTATCATCAATGTTTAATTTTTCCAGTATTTCGATTCATTCTTTGTGTTTTTTCTTTTGGTCAATATCTGCTTATGCCGCTAGGTGTCGCAGTTCATCAGAAGATCGGCAGACGAGCCAGAACTCGCTCAATCGTTTGATATGCCATGATGTTATGTAGTCTCAAGTTGTCAGTGAGTCCTTCAATCCATATTTTTCTCAGTCATACCTTGCCTCTAGGTGTTTCCATTTTGAGTTTGTACTCTCTTGCTGCTGGCATCGTTGGTTTCATTCTCATTAGATGGCCAAATCATTTTTCTTTGTCTCTCAATAAAACTGACGATGGGTGTTGTTCCAACAGTTTTTTTTTATGTCGTTTCTCACTCGATCTCTTATGGTTTTATTCACAGCTATTCTTAAACATCTTGTATCACAGGTGGTGAGTTGATTAATTCTGCATGTTTCACACAGTCAAATGCTTTCAAATAGTCAATGATGCATAAGTTAATATAATTTTTTTACTTTTTTACCTCTTTTTGACAGTCCTGAGGAAGAAATGGCAGTGTGTAGCTTTTCCTTCTATAAATCCACATTATTCTTCGCTTACTTCTGGTTTAATATTGTTTCTTTTTCTCGCTCTCCTCCGAACTTCTACCCAATATTATGGCAGCCAAACAAATATCCCAACAGGGCCTCAGTCGTGTGTAAAATAAGGACTTTCTGCAACGAACACATCATGGCAAAACTAGGATTACTTGACAATTTCAAGAGACGCAACACTGCAACACTGCAGACGATAGTAGCAGACGATAATAGTGACCGTTGACAATTTTGATCGTTTCTGCAGATGATACTAGCAGACCATACTAGCGACCATTGACAATATTGAGACAAGCAACATTACAGATGATAATATGGAGATGGCAGGGAGACCACGCGCTCCAACGCAGATTAGCGATAGTGTTCTTCTGATTAAACTCACCGCAGAGCCTATTCCCCGCGCTGCTACGTGTGGCGCGGATGGGGATCTAAATTAGATGCCTGGGACTCACAAGCAAATAAATTGGAAGAAGTTGCAGGAGATGCGGTAGCTGCTGCTCGTGAGTCCCAGAAATTTAGTTTAGCACCCCCCATCCGAGCCACGCGTTGCGGTGCAGGGGTTACTGTCGGCGGTGCGGCATAGTCACAGAAACAGGTCAACAATTAACATATCGCTGAGACCCTGTTAGAGCATTTGTACGTTATTCCGAGCTGATCTTAGTTTTGCCGCAATTTGTTCCTCAGCAGGAAGTCCGCATTTTGCATAGGACTGAGGCCCTGTTAGGGTATTTGTTTGGCCGCCATAATATGGGGTAGAAATTCGGAGAAGAGCCCTTTTTCTTCTCATAATTATTCTTAACTACATTTTTGTAGCAAGATGAAGACTCATAACGAATTAAAAGTAAAACTCAGTGTGTGATGGTCTTTACTATTTAAACTGCCTAGTTTCTTTGTCAGAAAAATCAATTTTAATAGGTCATTAGGAATGTACCCACTAATATTATAAATGTCATATTTTAACAATTATTGTTTTTTATTTTTTTATTTTTTATTTTCCATACAAAATTTTCCCAAATCTTCAATTCCTCCAATGCGATGTTTGTCTGAACCCGGTATCTGTTCCCCCCCCCCCCCCCTTTTATGTAAACGTAATACTAGTAATACTCTAGCCTAATCATATGCATCCGCATGATGATAGTACTACTAGTAGTACTACTACGATCCACAACTTCTGCAGCCAGAAGTTATAATAAGTATTGGTGGGCCTTCACTACTGTTGTGCAGATCAACTTCTGGTCTGTTTTCTTTCATCATACAAATCCCTTTATCGGTGAATCGGTCCTTATTAACATTACATTAATTGTATAATATAAAATAAAATACGTCGCTCACTCTGGTCTCCAGATTTCATTTTATCGGATCGTTTGTAAAGAGATCTCAGTCTCAGATCATCTGATCATCATGATCATTGTATCACCCCCAGGTAAAGTCACGTCGTAATAATTTTTTTTTAAATGAGAGAAATTGGTAAAATTACAACTTTTTGTTAGGCGACTAGTTTCTTTGGTTTTATAAATGTGCGTACTTCTGATAAATCGACAAATGTAAACAACGTCAAGCAAGCGAATACACAAACCTACAGGCCTAGTGTCGTTTTTATTTTTGCATCGCGCACAACTAGAGTGCCGGCCCCTGATATCATCAAAATCATCATCATCATCCTTTTCCCATTCCGTTGCCACCACCTCCTCGCCACCATCATCATCTAAGGCGCCGAAAACTTAGAGCCCATAGCCCGTGATCCCTCTACCCCAATTCTGCAAGGGGGTCCCTTTTAACCATGTTCATAAATGATCTTTAAGAGTATTTCTTTCTACATGTCATATAATTTCACACATATTTTGCATCAGCACATTTCTATTATTATGCGTTTAAACTAGTATCAGAACCCTTGAAACCCCCCCCCCACACACACACACACACACACACATTTTTACACACATTTTTTGCTCTGGACAATATTTTCTCTATGTCGCTCTACATGTGGCTTCTTAGCCGCAATGCCGTTTTTCCCCCTCCCCCTTTCCACGCAGGTTGTTCGTTTGAGAGGAGAGATCCAATCAGGAATATAATGAAGAAAGGTATGACTGCAGAAAGGATGAGAGCTGAGCTTCTGAGAAGAAACCAACTAAATACAAATGATGGCAATAATTGTCCTGAGATCTCATACTAAAACTGTGAAAGAATTCTCTTAACTGAGGCGGGTCTTGTTAATCACACTTGCCATTGCTATGGGCTGTGAATGTTATGCTTCAAAGAGTTTACCATTGTCATTATGAACGGACGCTCATACCATTGTTGACATTAAACCAGCGCGGTCTGCTGCCAAGTAACTTGCACTGCAGCTGAACCGAGCCAGGTATTTCACAATTATGAAATTACGCTTTCAACTTTTAAGCCACAGGCACTGACTTTGAATAAATGTTGAAAAATGTATGAGCGTCGTAGCTTTAAAAAAATAAGGGTAAGCTTCTTCTTCTTCTTCTTTTGTCGTTTAACTAATTTAATACCAGGTTGTAGTCCAGTGTCGTGGTTTTCTGTATTTTTCCTGAATTCTCCGTTGGCTCGGGTAAGGGATTTGTTCATCTTTTTGCAGGTTTCAGCTACACAATTTATCTATCTCGTTTTTTTGTTTTCCCCCGCCTTCCTCCCAGCTGTTCTACTGTAAAATATCTCCTATGCAGTTTGGCCTGGCTGCATTCTCAATGGATGGCCGAACCATTTCATTCTTATCTGTCAATACAATCCAGACATAGTGTTAACCCAACTTCATCTCTAATGATGGTATTCGCAATCATGTCCCTTTTTGTGTTGTTAGTGACCTTACGGAAACATCGCATTTCACATGTATAACAAGGACAGACTACTGAATATAACATTGCTTGTAAAACCACAGATCAGCCAATAAATCCTGGCGGTGGTAGTTCAGCTACAGACCCCACTTTGATTCTTCTTCTTCTTCTTCTTCTTCTTCTTCTTCTTCTTCTTCTTCTTCTTCTTCTTCTTCTTCTTCTTCTTCTTCTTCTTCTTCTTCTTCTTCTTCTTCTTCTTCTTCTTCTTCTTCTTCTTCTTCTTCTTCTTCTTCTTCTTCTTCTTCTTCTTCTTCCTCTTCTTCTTCTTCTTCTTCTTCTCTTCTTCTTCTTCTTCTTCTTCTTCTTCTTCTTCTTCTTCTTCTTCTTCTTCTTCTTCTTCTTCTTCTTCTTCTTCTTCTCTTCTTCTCTTCTTCTTCTTCTTCTTCTTCTTCTTCTTCTTCTTCTTCTTCTTCTTCTTCTTCTTCTTCTTCTTCTTCTTCTTCTTCTTCTTCTTCTTCTTCTTCTTCTTCTTCTTCTTCTTCTTCTTCTTCTTCTTCTTCTTCTTCTTCTTCTTCTTCTTCTTCTTCTTCTTCTTCTTCTTCTTCTTCTTCTTCTTCTCTTCTTCTTCTTCTT